TGGAATTCAGAGACATTTGCTGAAAAGTCAGGTCCTTTTCCTTCAGTTGCTTGAGCTGAGAATCCAATGCGTTTTCCAGCTTCTATTCCACTATGAATGATTCCCGTGGGTTTGTCTCAAAGAATTGGGAGAATTGCTGTGAAAGGCATTTTGTTTTGTGAGATGAATCAAGTTCATTGCTGTTTCAGCAGCCAAACACCTGACAATGTGAGTACCAATGAATCAGGCTCTTCAAACTCTCTGCAGCCCACTGTCTTTTCGCTCCAGACTCCTCTTCCCTGTGTTTATCAGTTTTTCCTGGATGGCTGTTTCTTGTTTGGTATAGAGGAAAATCCTTTAAATATGCTCTGCTTTGTTGAGGGGTTATCTTTTTTATTTCTCAACATAAGTTGGTTTTTTTTTTCCTGCTACTTCAATGTTTTGCATAGTTTTAGATTTCACATTCATGCACAATTTGTTTTCATTAAGGTAGGAAAGAGTTCTCAGGACTTATATCAGGAGCTGGTCATTTGCTCAAACATTTCTTTGGTTTGTCTTGATTTTTTTCCCTAAGGTTGTGATTGTTATGCAGCAATCTTTGGTTGTTAACACATTTTTCCAGACTTCCCAGTTAGCTTCCCCAGAATGCCACCAAGCAACTGCAGGCTCAAGATTAGGTGTATGTGATCACTGAAGTGTGCAGAACTCCCACTGTGTAAACAGGGAAGAGTGGAATGTGTCATTGTTTCGTGCTGTAAAAAAATCTCATTTTGTTTAAATACCTAACAATGTGAATGAGTGAGAGAAAATGGATGAGTTCAGCAGGTACATTCCTCTGGATCCAGTGGAGCTGCACCCACTTCAGTGGCCACTGAGGCCAGCACTGGTGAGTCTTGTTTCATAACACATTATGTGTTAACATGTTGAGTACTTACTCTGCTGGACTGAATTTCTTTGTCAGTGAGGCTTCAGAATTATTTAGTCATCACTTGCTACTTGTTCAGACTAATTTTAGAAGGACATAGTTTCCATTATGTTGCTGTGCACATTAGATGTGCTCAGCTGGGAAGAGAGTCAGGCTTTGAACTGAATTGTTTTCCATTACCCAAGTTAAGAGAACACATTGGCAATTCGCTCTTCCCTGAAACTATTGTGAGGTTCTGTTGTAAAGTACACACAGCTCTATCCCTTCAAGCATCAAAAATGAGAGTTTATTCACACCCTTTAAAGTGTTAGTGCATTTCTGGAAATGTATTAACTTGCTATTCTATGGCAGTTACCTGTCCAAAAAATCTGAGTGAAAAATGTAAGATTCTAACATGCACCCAAAGCTAGCCATAGGAATGCTTGATTTATAAAATAACTTCTTTAGTTTTCTGAAAGTTTGCTGACAATGTGTTTTATTGCAGGAAAATAATCTTTGGCATAAAGAACAGCCCAGTTAAAAGAGCATTTTACAACATTTTCAGATGAGTTTCCTGCTGCTGCTCTCACATGTCAGTGGTTTTGCACATTGGTTTAATGAAATGTATTTCAGAAAACTAAATAATTGGCAAAGTTTGTCTGCTAAAGCCTTTCACAGATGAAACACGACATGTTTGCACAATGGCAGGCAGGCAGAGTATTGATTTACCATCTGCCACAGGAAATGCAATCCTGAATTGGTGAGTACTCTGGTTTAGCTCCTAGGCCAGAAAAACTGGTCACTGAGTTGTTCTGCAGAGAGGTGTGGATTTGAGATGGAGGTGGGATTAGGTGCACATGGAATATTTCAATAAAACTATTGCTTTGGCCTGGCTCAGTTTAACGTGAAGAGGTGCTGTTTGCAGATGAGGTGTCTGGGCAGCTGCCCACGATAAGGAATTGTGTCGGGTCACTGTCACGAGGTTTTACACTATCCGGCCTTTGAAATGATAGAAACTACTGATTTCCAATTTGTTTGCTTTTCACAGAGATGAACCTTAACCAGAGTTAAATTAAATGGCTCCTAATTTTTAAGTCTCCAGATTGGCTAAGTGCCACTTGCAGTCATTTGTGTAAGACTGATTTATTTCAAAACACCGGTGCAGATTCACCGTGTAAAGCATTTCCCCTGGGTTATTCAGCTTCACCTGCCAGGTGATCATCATCATGTGGAGCTGCAGCACAGCATGACGACAGGAACAGATCCAGAACAGGAACAATTCCCCAGTGACTTTGTGTGCTGCAGGATGCACAGGATGCTGCGGTTTGAAGCTGTTGCTGTAACGCTGCTGTGGTGCCAGGCGATGGCAGTGCTGATGGCTCCCTGCACGCCTGGGGCTCTGCACGCAGCTCCAGTGCTGCTGGAATACAAGGCACAGTTATTTGTAAAAGCAAGTTATCCCAAAATACTCAGAAGAAGATGGAAATCATTTCTATTTTTGAGTTTTTCGGGCATGTACCTGGTATCCATAAACATAAAGCAAGATTTTAGAGCTTGTTTTTAACTATGCTGTTCTCTTTTAGCTGCTCAGAGAGACATCTGACCAAGCAAGTCGTGTATTTGTTCCCCTTTTCTCACTATCAGGCCCTGAAGATCCTCTGAACAAAGTCACCCAAGCATGTTTCTTGATATGATAAACCATATATTAAGATCCTCAGGCCTGCAGAAGGTCCAGGCTATTAAGAAATTATGAATTCTGTATTGTGCTATTTACAGATTGTACCATATCGATGCTACTTGTAGAAATCATGTGCCATACTAATCATAAATTCTGTGCTATGCTAATCAGAATACCCTGCTGAGAAAACCTTGATTGTAACTACAGTTTAGTGCTGTCCTTATTCTGCCAAAGACCCCTAAAAGAACCCATCTGTCCCCTTAGTGTCAAGTGTAACAGGTGTAATTCAAAAGGAAAAATCCCAGTAATATTTGCACTGACAGATTGTTGTCTTTGCACACCCCAGGCTGTGAGTTGGAGTTGGTACAACTGTTATTTCATCCTGCAGCTGGAGTTGAGACAGCTGGAAGCCATCTATTTGCATTTCCAGGTAAGTTTAGGTTTATATACAGCAGGGCAGGGCCCATCCTGCTCTCAGCAACAGGACAGCCATTCCATGAGAGGAAACTGCTGCTGTTCTTCCCTTGTCCAGTCAGAATAAATGGAGCAGCAGCAGCTGGCTGGCTGTGGTGCTTTCAGCAGACATGCTGGGACTGCCACTGTGTTCCTGTGCACGTGGAGCAGCCTGTGCTCCCAAGAGTCTGCAGCAGGGAACGAGCCCTTGAGAGCAGAGCCTCTGGAGTGGCACACCGGGACATCAGCTACAGGCAGGGTGAGCTGAGAGTGGCAGTGACTGCACAGCCCCAGGCAGATGCAGAACAAGGGGGGGGTCAGGCTGGTGCCAGTTTGGTCTCACTCCTTCCTTGGGGGCAAAGCAAACTTCCAGGTGTTTGCACCATTTACCTGCTTCTGAAATGGGGATGGTGCTACGCTTGGTCAAAGCAATTCACATTTTTGGTTGTAAGGTAATGTGAGACTGGGACAGCACCACAAAGGGGACCATGTGGACACTTGTGCATGGACAGAATAATTCCAAATGTTTGTGTTGCATCAGTTCTGCAAATGCTTTTTGTTACAGTGCATAAAAGATACAATACCTGCCAGCATTAGTTTTGTAAAGAGAGACCATTTTCTTCTGTTGACTAATTATCCAGTGAATATATTCAGTTTGAGGGGACACTTCAATAATTTAGCAGGCATGTGCCAGGTAATATAGGAGCTTTTGTCTTACTGGTGGCACAGATCTTGAATTGTGTGTAACCCAATCCCTGGCTTTATGTATTCAAGGAAGTCTTTGGTGTATAGCTGCTGTATCAAGTGCCACTGAAAAGCAGGCCTAGATAAGAGATTAAGGTAATGCTCTTCCCTGGGCACAGGGAAAGTTTACCCTTTGCTGCCCAGAGTGTCTTTTGCAGGCAGGAGCTGCTTTATATGTGAGGGGTGTGGATATGCTGAGATCCAGCAATGAGTTTATTGTAGGAACAGAAAAATACTGCAAACTGCATGTTAAATACTCAGGTCAGCTAAGCCTGTCCTTGGGGGTGTATTAACAAATGCTTTGCAGTTTGATAGGAAATGCTTTCTGTCATTAATGTTTTTTAAATGCAGATTGTTGATTTGCTGGACCAGACAAGGGGAGGGATAATGTTCAGTTCCTGGGAACACTCTGAAATAAAACTGGAGTAATGGATTTTCTTCAACCCTTCCCAAGGTACTTCCTCACAGCTGTGCCATCTTCCAGAAAGGTGGAAGCTCAAATGTCCTTTTCTGACCCACTGCAAACTGGTTCAGTCACCTCCCTTTCCTTGCCTATAAAATACATCTCACTACTGATCTACAGCAAAGGGAGATACATTTTGTTTAGAATATGCCACGATTAATGCACTCAGTAACAGGCAGAGATAATGCAGTGGCTCAAACTATTCTCAAATGACTAAATTTGAGTTCAAATACAATCTTTACAACCTTTTCTTCTTTGGAAGGACAGCTGTCTGCCATGCTCCTGCTGTAACAGTGGGATTTATATGGAGTCAGGTGTCACTTAGTGACAGGTAATTGTTTTCTGCAGATACCTGACTCTTTTCCTTGGAGGTCTCCCTTTCCTAAGTAATGTTCATTTCTACTCTGCAGCAGCAGGGTTGCAGACAGCAGTTGGTTGTTTAGGCATTAATGTTTAATTTATGGAACAGTATCTATATAATTGTAAAAAATAACGTCTACATTTGTGGAACATTGTCAGACTTCAAACACGAGTATGTAGCATTTTTGAAACGCTTTCACTGGGCTGAAACAGCTTTTCAAAAAACCACAGAAAGATGGCAAATGTCTATTTAAAGAGAACAGCTTAGCAAAACCTTGTCATTGAACCCTTCCAGCTTTTGTTCAGCCACTGGCTGCGTGATGCAGCTGGAGTCATTCTGCAGTGCTGACCTGTGTTTGTCACAATGGCTGAGCTCATCCAGCTCATCATCTGAGCCCCTCTCTTTGGTGGCCCTGCAAACAGCAGCAGGGAGATGAGAGAGAGGATTATTAAACTCTGGAAACTATTCTTCATGTGGCTTGGCCCAGGGTAACATTTCTCACTAGTGACCTACTTGCTACTACCTTGCTCTTAACATCCTTAAGGATGGTGCTGTCCCAGCCACACCTCTGGTAAGGAAACAACAGAGTGTTTTTTTCGCCTTGTAGGCTGATGAAAATGTCCTTTGAGGTAAGACTGGCCCTGGCACCCCCAGGCTAGCAAAAGGAAAACCATAGTCCAAGCAGCAGAATGGATTTCCTGATTTAGTACTGATCCATGTACTTCATATGAGCTTGACTCCAAAATACAGATCAGCTGACAGCCTTTGTGTCCTCCTGAGAATGCATGTAAAGCCTGCCCTCCTGTCTTGCACCTTCCTCTGTGTGCTTCCCCACTAACTAGAGGCATGATGGGCACCAATTGGACCACAAGGTTTAGCAGGCAGTGGCCTGCCTTTGTTTCACTTGCTCTGTTCAGCTGATGTCACTGTCCTGTGGCAATGTTGGGGACAGAGTGTTGCTGGTGACTGCCTGTCGAGCTGTTGATGGCTCTTCCTCATCAGGAATCACTGCTCCAGCAGATTGGATGTGGATGTTGGACTGTCAGGAGCTGGGTGGCATTGCCCAAGAGAGCTTTGACCCCTCCAGTCAGTGATTGTGCTGCCCTGCTTGGGCACCCTCATAACTGATTCATTTTGGAAAAGGCCCATTTTGGACATTTTGATACCATGTAGAAGCTGGGATCATCCTGCCCAGATTTCAGTGCAGGTAACTCTGTTTTTCTTTTTAAATACCTTTCCAGGCTCCATGGATAAAGCTTCTGTATCCAGTGCTGGTACGTTGGTTTGTTGTCTTGACATTCCATTTGTGTTTATATCCTGTTCAGAGCCACTGCAACGAACCTTTGCTGCCCTGTGTTTAAATAGAGTAGACATGGTAACTGGAAGGCTCTAAGAGTTTCAAACAAACCTTTAAGGAAGGTTAACTGCCATGCTAATATTTTTTTTCTTTTTGTGTATGTTCTTCTGCACCTGGCCAGGTTCATTGTGGGCATTAAATACCTTCTAAAAGTATCACACCTGGAAAAGTGATATCAGAGTAGATGGATTATTTATCTCATTGGATGTGATGTGACAGAAGAGTCTGGATTGGTGAGGACTAAAATACAGCAACCTGGAGAAAAGGACCAAGGGGGGGATCCATGGCTGAGACCTGGGTGTGCTCACCTGTGGGATGGGGGATAGAAATTGGGTCTGCCCCAATTTCATATTATATGGAACATATCCATATAATGGGTGTGCTCACCTGTGAGATGGGGGATAGAAATTGGGTCTGCCCCAATTTCATATTATATGGAACATATCCATTCATATCATATGGAACATATCCATAGGATATGTTCCAGCTCTGAGCTCACTTGTCTTTTGCTGTTAAGAATATCTCTTGTGTCCATACAGCTGTGCTCTGCATCCCAGAGCTGAGACATCTTGTTTAATGTTCTTCTGTGTCCTGACTATTCCCTGGTTGGAGAGGGTGGACAGTTCCTGCTCAGTTTGTGCTACCAGTGTCACGTGCACTCCCATGAAAAGGTCATGAGATGTGGCCCTGGCAGCTTTGGCAGAGATTGTTAGAAGCCTTCTGGCGTTTTCTTTTTTTGAATCAGAAAATACCACTTAGTTTTAACATAACTCCACAAATATTTGGAAAAAAAAAATATTAGTGCCATTTCAAAAGGCTTTACTTTTTCTGCTTCCTTCCTTTAAAGAACATTAAATGACTTCTTGTTCATTTTAAAATGTAGTTTTATGGTTTTCAGACTTCGAAAGAATGAAGTTACAATTAATATTTTCCCAAAGTACAACATAAAATTGAAATAGCAAAAATATTTGTTTAACTATTTTGAGATGTAGTTTGCATGTTTGACTCAAATGGAATGTTTTTTTCTAAAAAACTTTTTGAGGGAGGAAAACCCTCCTGATAATTAAATCTCAGCCTGAGAGAGATAGGACAATATTTCCATTAAAGAGAGACAGAGTTTCTGTGCAGGAATTCAGGAAAGGAACAGTATCTTCATTGGAGGTTGTGTTTAGCAGGTGAAAAGTGGTTTCATCTCCTTATCCTTCTCTCCCTTTTCCCTGTGCCCTGCCTTGCAGATCTGGGGATACCTGAGCCAGTTCCTGAAGAGACTCTCCCTCCATGACATCATCAAAGGCAAACTTGAAGAAATGGGCAATATTTTGGCCTATATATTTAATATTCTGCTGAGATGTAGATGCTGTGATAGCAGGAAAATGTTTTCTGGATCTGTCTTACAGCTCCTGTTCCCCAGTGCTTAGTGCCAGTGGAGGAGCTGTGGTAGAAAATCTGGAGAGAAACTTCTGTCCCAGAAAGCACCACGAGCTGTGTGCTTTGTCCTGTTCCTTTTCTGCTTCTAACCCTTCATCATCCCTTTCCTGCCTTCTATGAAGTAAAGAAGAAACTAAGATCAGCTAGTGAAGGATTTCCTGGATTTGTTGCATAATTTAGTTGCAATATGAACATCTGCACTCTTCATTAGTCATTCACTAAGAGGTCAAATAGAGATCATCCCCGAGGTGACAGGAAAGGCAAGGGTTACCACTGCTCTAGGCCAAGACATTACAATACTGATGATGACAAAACTATTTGGCAGGGTTGCCAACAATGCCAAAAAACAAGCCACCATCCTAATCAAGGGCAGTATTTTGATTGTTCAGAAAGCCAGCCCAGCTCCCTGCTGTCACACTGTGACAATCCCCAGCCCAGTGTCATTCCAGCTCCCCAGAGTGCTCTGCCAGCACTGGGAGAGTCTGCACACACAGCTCCCAGGAGCTGTACCTGGATAAACAGTGAACTGGAGATGGTGGAGGAGAAATTCCCCAAGGGCTGAGTAAAAAGCACCAAGAAATGGAGGTGTGACCACTCAGGGTGGCTGCAGCACATCTTGACCACTGAAGGAACACCACCACGGGGTCCACTGAAGCAGCTTTCCTTGCTCACCTGATGTTTCCAGGTCCCAAACAGGTGCTTCATCCTCCCCCTGACACACGTGACTGGCACAAGGGCGTGTGGAAGGAAAAGTGCCAGGCTGTGCTCTGAGAAACTCCTGGGAAACACTGATGCTGGCACAAAGAGCAAAGCACAAGGTTCCTGAATATTAGACATTGTCCCTGCTGGCAGTTGCAGAGATATGAGCAATGTGATGGCACAGTTTCCTTGGCCATACTTAATGCCTTTATTTTCATCTAGACTTATATCCAAGGCTTGCAGTGCACTTCCTGTGGCAAGATCCTCCAAGCAGTTATGAGCTCTGCAATGTCTCCTCCAAGCTTCTTCTTCTTCAGGAATCTTGTTTGCAATTACCATGATTCTGTTTGTCCTTTGTCATGGCACAGATATGCAATTTTTGTTTTGTGAGGGCAGGAAAGTTTGAGGAAGTAGAGTTAGATTTTTAATGACATTTGCTTTAGAAAGGAAAGCACTCTAACATGTGCTTGTGGTCCAGAAGAATTGAGTGAAGTGTTCCATTTGTTGTTCTCTCACTCCCAGAGTTACCAATATCCATACCTATATGTTTTTTTAATGCAGGTTGCTGTAACATTAAGCCAGATCACTCTAGATGCCCACTAGAGCTGATGGTCTGCTTGTGTGTCACCAGTGAAGCCAGCAAAAGGAAACAGAGTTCACTCAGCATCCCCATTTCTGGAATATTCAGAAGAGGAAATAGTCCTATTGGAAGATTCCTACAGAAACCAAAGCCAAAAGGCAGCCCTGATTTGGAACCTCTGCTAGATTACTTTGTTACAAGTGGCCCAAAGAAGAATGATTTTCATTCTTCAATTCTTGTTGCAGCAGCAGCTCTGGGTTAAGCAGTGGTTATGGTGTGCTCAGGGCACCAGCCCAGAAAATCTGACACAGAGGGCCCAGATGCAGAATTTCCTGCGATAACCTAAACCAAATGCCACTGAGTGCAGCTCCCCTCAAGATCTCCCCGTTCACAGCCTCGCTGGTGGCCAGCATCCAGACTGAGCATTAGTAAAACCAACAAACCAAACAGTTCCCACAGTAAGTCCCTTGCTCTCCAGTTAACTTATTTAGCTGTGGAGCTTCTGAGGGGGATGTTTCATCTGCTGTTGTTGCAATAAGCGGGTATCCATGGCAAAACCCAAGGGTGCTGCCCTACAGCAATGAAGTCTTGGCTAAGCAGCAGCAGGAACTGAAAAAGGTCAGAGCTCCACAGTAGCTCTGCTCCATTTTAAAAATAAAGCCCATCAGTTTGCTAAGAAGTGAGGCAGGTTCTTCCTGGCTTGCACATCAGACCTGGAGTGTCTCAAATCAGTTTTCCCAAAGACACAGGGGGAGGAAAGGAAAAGGCTCAGACAAGTCTACAAGGAGAGCACCACAAAGCTTCACTGCCAAAGGAGGGACCACAACAGAAGGGACTTTGGGGCTTTGCAGAGGCCAAGGAACAGAGAGCATTTCCCCTGCTGCTCTTTCCACACCTCTGTCCTGTTCTTGTGCTCCCAAAGGTATAACTTCCTGCTATAATTTGTTTTTCATCCTTTAGGCAGGGACCATTTCTATATGGGTCTGTACCTGGATAACCTTGCAGTGCCATCTTCTCTAGATCACCAAACCACTGCACACTGGTGATCTGCAGCTGTTCCATTCCACCTCTTGGATAATGCTGCTGAAGTCCACCAGAAGGAGCCTTTGTGTATCAATTTTGCATAAGCCTCGAGGAATGTATTAACATGTAAGTAAAAACCCAGTGAGTCCTCTTAACTGTGTTGAATTATCATAAAATTAATCTTCCCAATCTGAATGAGAATAGGATGCTCTGGATTTGCAATACAAATCCTGTACATTAAGGGTATGGATGGTTGTACACCCACTGCCAAAGATGACTTTTCTCCCAGCCTCCTCATTGACTGGCCTGTGTAGTTTTATTTTGTAATAACTGCAAAGGACTTAACCTACAATAAAGGATCACCCCTACAATAGTTTATATCAGGTCTGTGTTCTCCTGCTTGCTTGCAGTCTGCTCTTAGGTTTGTGCTGAGAAATATCCTGCCTTCCCCAAAGCAGCTTTGTACTTTGAGATATGCCTGTCTTTGCAGGAGTTATCTGTGGCCAGAGAAAATTGAAATATGTACTTCTCAGGTACTCCTATTGTTGCAGTAAACTGGCTCTGCCAAGCTCCTGCAGCTTTGATCTGATGGTTGGATTTCATCTGTAGGTGTTTTGAGGAGGATGAGTGCTTTCCACAAGAATGAGGCAGAAAAAATAAAAGCAAATTAATTAACTTCCATGAAGTTATCCTTACTCACTTTCTCTTCCCTTTCCTGCTGTGTTTGTGGTAACAGCTCATTAGAGCCTGTGTTTGCAATAGCTGCACTATTGAAATCTCTCAGGAGATTTCATTTCCCGTCCTGCTTTCCAGGATGTGGCAGAACCGAGGCCGCCTCCCCCAGCCACACCAGCGGTACCGGGGGGTTTGCAGGCAGGTTTAGCCTAAACTCCTTCCTTGCTCTGTTCTGCCAGTAAGAGAACTCCAGTTCCTGCCTCAAGGGAAGAAGAGGAGCTGGGATTTCTCCTTTGAGAGATGTGGAGCTCATGTTTGAAGAAGAAAAAAGCCTGTGCTGCTTTTCCCCCCCCTGCTCAGCATAAGCATCGAGAACAGAGATGCTGCTGGTCTCTCTGGAGAACTTTGCCAGCCCTGCCTGCCCTGCAGAGGAGCCAGAGTCTGGTTGGATGATTTGAATCTCTGCCATCATTTGGAGCAGAATGAAGCTCTGTAAAAGGCCAGTGACTGAATGCCAACTGGGCTGTCATTAGCTCGGGCAGCGCAGGAAGCAGCTGATGTGCAGTTTGTGGTGGAAGTCATGCAGACAGAAGGGGTGACTCAGGGGTGGAGAGGCCCCAGCCCTGGCTGCAGCCCAACCCCAAAGGTGTATCCCAGGCTTGCTCTTCGGATGGACCAGGGACTCCTTCTGGCTTCACAAGACACAAAGGCCCCATGGACCATCCATTTGCTGTCCATCTTTCAGTGATGCTGGGTGCTGCTGGCCCAGCTCCATCTTTCTTCCACAGTAATCAAAGGAAATGCGCCCTAATCTTGAAGTCTGGTGCTTCAGAAGTAAAAAGCTTAATGGCTTTCCTTGGCTTTTTGGTTTTTTTTCTCTCTCTCTTTTATGAAGCATAGGGTGTTTAGAACTATGGAAGCAGTGCAAGAAAAATATTAATGAATAACTATGGAGTGCAGACATTAATGCATTCCTTTCTCTTGAAATAACTGGCTTTTCTCTGTGGGGTCTGTAACAAAAAAAGTGTCTGCAGAGTCTGAACCTGCTGTATAGAAGCCAAAGTAGATGATGATTTAGAACTTCACTGGCTTTTTTCTTTTTTTTTTTCTTTTTCTTTTTTCCTTAAAATGTTATCTCTGCATTTCTCATGTTGCAAAAATCTCTTTCTCTGAGAAATGGTAAATGTAAGGCACAGGGGCAGTTCTTGAGATTCTGGGTGCAGAAAATTATGAACAAATAATGATTTTTGGGATCCTCTCCCACACCCCAAACTTCAACTGATACTGGAGAGGAGGAATTAAAGCAATGCAAGCATCCCACCATTGGAGTTCCCCAGTGGTGTTCTGAAGTACCAAGTTAGCTTTTCAGCTTTTGTTTTCCTGCAGTTATGGACCAAGGGCTACCTGCAGCAGCTCTGGGGCTGTGTTACAGTAAATCCTCCCAGGTTTGAATGGCCAGGTCAGGCCAGAAACCTGCAGTCCAGGTCAAAGGCACTGTCACATCACAGCAGGAGCTGCCCATCCTTTCATAGAACAAAATGCAAAAGGAGGATGGTGGAGAATCGCGATTAGCAGTGGAAATGGGCACGGTGCATCCCTGTCCCCAGAGAGAGGCTGCACAGGTACAGATCCAGGAGGCTTAGGAACCAGCTTGAGAAAGATAATTCTGGACTTTTGTTCACTCCTTGAGCCCCTCCGTGGCTGTTCCTCCTTGGCGATTCGGTTCAACACCACCCCTTCCTCCTGCCTTGGCTTCGACGGTGCCTTTGTCACCCAGCGTGCCACAAAGGCCGCCAGCTGCCGGCTGGCTTTGTCCCCGGGCCAGGGCCCGCCGCAGCGATGGGTGTGCGACAGCGGCGGGACAGCCGCGGGATCTTCGGCGGGCTCGCTCCGGAGCGCTGCCCGTCCCCGCCTGCCCTGCCCGGAGCCACCGGCACCGCGGCGTGTGCCCGAGGGGCAGCGTGTGCGGGGAGGGGCTCGGTGCTGGGGGATAATCGGTACCGGAGGGGCTCGGTGCTGGGGGATAATCGGTACCGGAGGGGCTCGGCGCTGGGGGATAATCGGTACCGGAGGGGCTCGG